CGTTTTCTCCCATGCAACTCCTCAACAGCCATAATCCCTTTATATAATGACTTCTGTTAAAGAGACAGTGACTACAGATAGTTACAACAGATGGGGGTCATTCCTTACAGACAGAGAATAAATGGACAGTGCTAAATACCATTTTGTTGTACTTATTGGATAATGCTGCTGTACCTATTGGTTAAACAAACACTCTTTTTTTTTTCTTTTTTTTTTTTTTTTTTTTAAACCCAAACAGATTACATTTCCAGTTACAGCCATGACATGATTTCTGGATGAGTTAGTTTGGTGTGGGGTTTTTTTGGGGGTGGCTTTTTGTTTTGTTTTTAGTTACACTTCCCCATGCCTTATTGTTGTATATTTTAGAGTTGTATGTAAGAGACATGTAACACAAACAGTGAGTCTGGAAGAGTAATTGCTCTCCTACAAAGAGACAGAGGTTCTCGGGGATTAATTGCAATTAAGTCATAGGAGAACAAGGACTTGTTCTGGAGCATATTCTAACTTCTGTGGTTGTTGTGATTGCCTTTCTTTTTCCAGGAAGCACAAATGTGGGTGACCAGCTTCCTACTGGACAGCTATCAGTGGTGCCTTGGAGACGTACTGGTGTAAAATACACCAACAATGAGGCATATTTTGATGTGATTGAGGAGATAGATGCAATCATTGACAAATCAGGTATGGAAGTTGATTCTGGCTAAGACGAGGGTAACTTGTCCTGATGGTGCCTGAAGAGAGATTTAGGTTTTCAAAGAGGAGCACCTTTATCGAAGTGGGGGAAGCTCTATTCCTATTCTTACTCTGGAATATTGCCAACTGATGGGTGCTATACAGTCAGAAATCTTGGAGAGGTACCAAGGTTTTCACTTGTCTTTGTTCCTAAGGTCTTGTAAGCAATTCTATATTGGGGAAATAGTGCTATGCACAATTTTCACTTGCCTTCAATTTCCTTAGTTTTTGTGCATTTCAGTCTTGTTAGAGTCGGGAGCTATGGTCATTAAAATGGACATTGCTGGTGTCAGTGGTTCTTATTTATATGCATCTTCTCCAGGAGTGGTTGGGAATGAGAAAAATGTTTAGAGAACAACATAATGAACCATGCCAACTCATGAAGATAATAAATTTCTGTTCTCCCCATTAATAGTTTTTCTACATTGGGATTTTTTTGATCAGTTTTCATGTAACTTCCAGTGTTTACTTTATTGTTGCAGGTTCCACTATTACTGCTGAAATCCAAGGGGTGATTGATGCTTGTGTCAAGCTGACTGGGATGCCAGACCTTACCCTCTCCTTTATGGTAAAACACAAGGGTGTATCTTTAATTATTTTGCAAAGGGTTTCCCAGCCCTGCTGCTAGGATCTCTGCCTCACTCTGATGGATTCCAGCAGATAAGAACCTGCATATGCCAAATGAAAAGAGAAAGATCTGACAATGGAAATTCATAGTGAACTTTAGCAACTTTAGGCCTGAAGGTTTTATTTTCAGATTCTTTGTTAAAAGTACTGTTAGGGTGTGCTGTGACTAAGTTTCTGAAATGCAGTGGTGCTTTTGGCAGATATCCTAAAGGACCATCTTTTTTTGTGAGTATGCATCAATGTAATTATTTGACATGACTAAGTTTTCTAAAATAGGATAGAGGTTATTGAGTGCTGCTATCGCACAGAGGTAACAGCATCAAATAGCTTAATGTGTCTGAATGTAGATACCTTCAGGTGGGCAGAGCGCATTGAATGGTAGGCCCTTCATGGATAGAAGACTGAGAAGAAGAGGAGGAAGTTATTTTAAGTAATACTACTTTCACTAACTTTGTGACTTTCTTCTTTTCTTTCAGAACCCGCGGTTATTGGATGATGTCAGCTTTCATCCATGTGTGCGTTTTAAGCGCTGGGAGTCAGAGAGAATACTCTCCTTCATTCCACCCGATGGAAATTTTCGCTTGCTCTCCTATCATGTCAGTGCTCAGAAGTAGGTGATAGATGTAGTGCTCTGAATTGTGAAATTTGGATCTTCCTGGCTAGGGGAAAAAAACAACCAAACAAGAAAGGAATTGCTTTTAAAGATCAGGTGGCTTGTTGTGCCAAATGTAGTAGAGGTACATGGTGCCTTTTTTAAAACCCGTGTTTTGTCCTTGATTGGAGCAGTGACTCTGTCATTTCTTTTTGGTCAGCTAGCATTTTTCAAAGACTAGTAGCAGATAAATAAACTAGAGAGGAAAAGAACTAGGCAGTATGGAGTGATACAACAAGCTTGATTTAAAAAAAAGTGTAATTAAGACTTGAGAACAGGATTCTGACTTTGCTCTTAGATCAAACAAATGAGTGTAGAATTTCCTTCTCTTTTAAGGAAATTGTTTTCCAATGTTTTCAGTGTAGAAGGCAAGGACTGCATTAGGAAAAGCAAAGATGAAGGTGAGAGATTGACAAGGACTTTCTGTTCATGTCTTTATTCTAGTCTTGTGGCAATTCCTGTCTACGTTAAACACAACATCAGTTTCCGTGATAACAGCTCACTGGGACGTTTTGAGATCACAGTGGGGCCGAAGCAGACTATGGGGAAGACTGTAGAGGGAGTGATGGTCACTAGCCAGATGCCAAAAGGTGTCTTAAATATGACCCTTACACCCTCTCAGGGAACACATATCTTCGATCCAGTTACAAAGGTGAGAGGAAGGAGAGAAATAAGATCTGGGCTTTTTTAAATCTTTTTTACCTTTCAGCAAATGAAGTTGAGCTGTTCGTGCTTACATAAACATCTCCTTGAATGTTGCTTTTCTTAAGGCAGTATCTTTTCTTGGGGTGAGAACTTTTTCTGGACAATTGCATAGTAGAAGCTGTGTTAATCCCCATAATAAATAGTTCAGTGACTGAGTGGAAAGTAGTTCCAGTTGATTGGTATGTGCAGAAAATCCAAAAAATGGTATTGTATGATGAGGCATTAGTCTGGTGGGTGCTTTACAAACTTCTACGTATCTAGTTGTCATGCCTAGCACTGTACATTAGACTTGGTCCTTTGCAAACACTGAGGATTTGGGCTGGTTAGTGGGTTTTGATTTGTTTTGGGATGTTCTGATTTTGTTGTTTGGCCTTCCCCACCCTGCGTTCACTTTTTTTTTCTTATTGTAAACTTAAATTTGTTGGTTTACTCACAGTAGAGCCTCAAACAACACTGCTTCAGCCGTTCAGAAAGGAGGCAGTTCTGCATTATCTTTGTCACTGCTACACATAGGAAATGGGGCCTCTAGTATAGGTAGTGGACGTATCATTGATGGTAGGCTTTTGGGGAATCTCGTGGAAAGAGAGAGCGAGCAAAGGTCCAAGGCAGATGTTGCTTAAGCCTGTTCTGTGTCTGTCCAATATGAAAGGCAGGATACTAAGACAAAGGTCTTTTCCATGAAGAAGCATTAAAAGCTGTCATTGGAAGGGGACTCCTCTTTGGAGGGTGTTACAGCATTTCTGTTTCATTGCTGCATTTTCTGTCCCTTGAAGCTGCTGTCATGGGATGTGGGGAAAATAAACCCCCAGAAGCTGCCAAGCCTGAAGGGGAGCGTGAGCTTGCAAGCTGGGACATCAAAACCAGATGAAAACCCCACCATTAACTTGCAGTTTAAAATTCAGCAGCTGGCTATATCTGGTAAGTGACTGTCAGGTAAAGCAGCTGAATGTTCTCTGCTGTGTCATTGCTCACTTTGCATGTAGCTGAAATAGAATGTACTTCAGAAGGCCTACAGAGCTATCTGAAACATGTTCTGCAAGTAAAAAAAAAAATAGTGTGTTTTGATGACAGATACGTGGATTTGCTCTCTGATGCTCTATGAAACAGGCTATCTACATTTCCTTGCGTTTCATGCTTACAGACCTATAAAGAAGTTTAGGACATGGATGTGTTTGTAAAGAATGGTTCTGACAATTAGCAGTTGTCAGCTCTTCTCAGTTCTGTTTACTGCTTGCTAAAACTTTCCCTATGCTTTCTGCACCTCTAGTATGATGTTCTGTTCCTTTATCCAGAGGGCCTGTCTGCTTTGTTTGTGGCAGCAGTCATTCTTATGTTGTGTTTGTTTGCCTCTAGGACTGAAGGTGAATCGCTTGGATATGTATGGGGAGAAGTACAAGCCCTTCAAGGGGATAAAATACATGACTAAGGCTGGCAAGTTCCAAGTCCGAACCTAGAGGATTCCGTAGTGAGGAAGAGCACTTTCCTGTTTCTCCTGTCCCTAGCTGTTGGATGCAGCCTCTTACCCTGTCCATCTATTTAGGGTTGCTCCCTTGCCTGTAGCAGCATGAGAGCCGCTGCTTAGGGTGCTGGGGAGCAGGGAAAAGTGAGGTTGACCTGAAAACACCTCATCCTTAGCTGAATCTGAAGTGTTTGGAACAATGGCAGATGGGAGAGGTGTTCAGGTCCCTTGGGATTAGTGAGTCAGCTATGTAAGCTTGTATCACCTTCATTTTGCTGTCTTAAAAGAAATTCTAAGGATTTATTGCCTTTTGTAACTCCTCTTCCTTATCTTTTGGTTGGCTTTTATCCCTTTGTAGATGATACAAAGTTGAATTTCCACAAACATCACCTCCAGTGCAGTGGTTTGGCATCTGCCCTTCTCCCTCGCAGGGCGTTAGGGCAGAAAGCTGTCTAGTTCTTGGCAGCACAGAGGTCACAGTCGTTCTGCCTCAAAGGGACTGGAAGAAGTGGAAAAGTAGATTGTCCCCACCCGGGATGGGAAGTGAAGAAGCCTGAGATTGGGGATGGTGCCACAGAGGGAGGAAGGGAAGAACTGGATGTTTTTTCTAGATATTTCATAAGCCATCTTGGTCATCAAGTGTCTTGAATCTCTGGAGATTGACTGGAAGCATCTAAATCTTAGTATGGTATCCTGTGAAGGGCTGGCTGTAGCACATGCAGTCTTGTAATGAGAGGTGTCATCGGAATGTATTTCTGGTTCTCTTACTTCATCAGCGTTTTAAGGTAGGGATTCTCCCAGCTACTTTGGGGAGTCAGGGAAGAAACAGAGGCAGGACAACTTTTGCAGAGACACAGCGCTCTGATGGAAACTGAAGTTGTGGCTGAAGGAAGGCGATCACTATCCTAGTAATTGTTGGAACCTCCTTTTGCCTCTTTTGCCTCTGCCTCCCTATTACAAATGAAGGTGATACTGCTGTTCTCCTGCTCACTGATGTCTTTGAGATAATTGTGTCCTGGTACCTTTGTAGTGTTTCTGGCTTTCCTACCTCCTTCCAGTTCCTGTACCACTGAGCTGCTGTGCAGGTGGATTCAAGCCTATGTTGGATTTCTCACTGGGACCATCTCTTCTGCAGGAGCTGTTGCTGCATCTGCCCATTCCAGTCTGTGCTGCATCTTTCTGTACAGCATAAATAGAAAATGAGAGGCATCTACACTATTCCGTATTGTCTGTAATGTGCTCTTTGGCCACTAGATGCCAATGTGTTTTCTCTGTGGTAACAGAACTTGTCCCTAAGATGCCGTACAGTTCATGCTTGTGAACAGATCAAGGTGACCCTAAATGAAGGATGACATACGTTCTGGTTTGCATGTGATGGATACTTGCATTGGACAAGTGGTGTCTTGCATGTGGAATTGCAAGTTCCAATGCAACTGGTGGGTGCTGTAGCAGGTGGCCTTACTGCTGAGCATGTTCAGTGCAAATATAACCTTCAGCAAGGGCATCAATAAAATTCATTTTCACATGTCGTCTGTGTTATTTCAGAGTGGTTTGTGTGGGCTTTACAAGAAATGCAGTTAGTTGGTATTTTAGGAGGAAGGTAAATATGTGAATCGTATTGTGGATGCCTTAGGGAGATAAATGTCTTTCTGGAATTGGGATTGTCAGCTTGGGACTAAGTCACTGTCTGAAAAGCTAAAATTAATTACTTTCTTGGTAATTTTTCTTATTGTCTCCTAAAAGGAGCACTGAGCTCTTCCTAGAACCTCAGTGAAACTGTCTTTAGGAATGCAACTGAACCATTTTCGTTTAGTAGGTAGGGTTTTCGGTAGCAGGCTAAGGCTGTGCTTTAATTATGAAGACAGTGAAATACCTCTTCATCTTCCTGCTCCTCAAGTACTAAGGTTGTCGTTTGGCTTTGTAGCTTTGGATTTTTAATTTTTTTTTAAAGTATCTTTCCTTTCACATCGAAGTGATTTGTGTTACTCAAGATCTTGAAGGGCTTTTTATAGGCGTAAGAGTGTCTGGCCTTTATGACAAGGTTCCTATATCAGTCTGAGGTGGGTGCAAGTTCCTATCGAATATAGAAGGGCAGAAGGGGTAAGCAGGGAGCAACATCAGCGAGATAATTTGGTAGATGATGATATAAGGAGTTTGGGAGGAAATGGGTGGTGTAGCTGTGTACTTCAGTTACGATAAATGCTGATGTTGACTCATGAGAGAGGAATGGAAAGTAATTTGTCTTTTTCTCAAGGTTATTACTTAATAAAATACAATTAAAACCAACAAAAAATCACACCAAAAAAACTGAACTGTGACTTTTGTTTATTAAACATCTTGGGGTTTTTCCCCATTCCCCTGGCTGGAATATGGGACTTCTTGCTGAAGATGACTGGATTTACACCACTGTTTCTCTGAGGACACGAAGATCTCTTTGAGATCAGTTTCTAAGCTGGTAGCTAGAAAGGCATGGACCGTCTGTAAAGTTGCCATTTACAAAACCCATTTGAGGAAGTAATGGGCATCCTTACCAAATCTCTCTTCTGTATGTATTGATTAATAAGCTTCTCTAATTTGACTAGAGGCTATGCTAGTAGATCATCAGAGAGCTCCTTAAAACTGAGTAAACATTTGGAGTTATACTGTTTTAAATTTCCCAAATACAACAGGCTACTTCTCTAGCTACAATGCCTGGTTGATACTAAAGCTAAACTGCTTTTGTAGCCTCAATATAATTGTTTTCCTTTTGTGAAACAGTAATCACACATGCTTTCTCTTAATTTATAAACCGATTGCACAAGAGAGAATTTCTCAAAGAGGCTTAACTCTTAGAACATGCATAGATACCACTTGGCATTACATGGCAACTACAATGCAAGTAAATAATGCTCGATTACTTAGATTCTAGTTCACAGTGACTTGGTTATACCTGTTGTGTCTTCTGTTAAAGGACAAATGCAGCTTTGTGACCTTTGACTTGATTTTTACAGGTGGATGTAAACGTAGCAGGCACCTAAAACTGCCACCGTTACACTTGTCCTTTGTTCCACCCTGCTGCTGCGCTAAAGAGGGAGGTTTTGCTTTCATACCAACTGATAATGCATAGAAATCTAATAGTCAAAAAGTAATGTGTTGATTCTGTGGCAGACAAGGCTGGTGTTAAGATTTTAACCTATTCTATATTTAAATATTTAGTTCCTACCCAGAGGAAAAGCAGGTGGAAAAAGAGGATGTTCTAATAAGCTTGCCATCCTGTTACTTTTTCAGTTTGGAACTGATTCATTAAGTAGTATATTGATATGGAAATAAGGCACGTAGCCCATGCCTACAGCTGTGCTCTTTCTGTTGGAGTCAAGGTGAAACCAGCTTAAGCTCTGTCCTTATACCATGTTACTTTGGTTATTTAAGCCTGACTGGAATGTTTTCCAAGTTTACAGCCAAATAAGGAGGGAGATGAGCTTTTCAGGAAATGAAAACTGTCCCCTTTGACTTTAGTTTACACCCATTCCCAAAATAACATTGCTGGTCTAGGAATGCATGAGCATCCCATGCCCAGTTTATTCTCTCGGGCCAAAAATTATTTTTAATTGTACTTGTGATCTAATGCAAGGAGAGAGCTTGGGGATGTGGGGGGAAAGGAGCGTTAGCTTCTGATAACCTGTAATAAGGAAAGGAGAGTTCAGTTGAGAAGGTGCCCTTCCTACACATTGCAGTCTGTCTTCCTTTAGTACTGAAAGTCATAAACATCTGGAGAGACAGGAAGCCCTGTCAGCATCCTGGAAACAGCCAGAAGGAAGCTGCAATGCCATGGCCACAAGACTGTGGATAGTTCATTTTTCTTTCTTAAGGTTTCATGTTGTCCTGAATCCAGTCAAGATAACGATTCACATTGGTATAAACGCCGGGTAAGTCTTTGCGGCCACAGCCTATTCCCCAGCTGATGATTCCAATTAGATACATCCGATCATCCTTCATACAGACCAGGGGCCCTCCAGAGTCACCCTGCAGAGAAGTAGCAGGTTAGTAACAATCTCCTCATTTGTTTGGTTTTGTGATGTTTTTCTCCCCACACTGGCTTTAGTTGTGCACTGGTGTCTGCGCAAACACCCTCTGTAGTGTGCTCGCAAATCAAGAGTGCTCAGTAACAGCGCCCTCATATGGTCCCAAATGGGACAGACCCCAAAAACTCTTTAACTAGCAATACAGCATCTGACTTTGTATAGTGCTCATTTATGAAATGTAGGTGAGACATTGATAAGAACAAAAAGAGGAATGCTCTTCTTCGAACTATACTGCCATGTGTAACAGTAAAGCGAAATTATTTAAAGAGCTGTTTAAATGGAAAGGATGTGGGTCGAATGCGTGCCCTCCTTTTTTCGTCATGATATAGCTGCTCCTCCTCCACCATCTTTTAGCGTTTTGTCTTTTCTCCAGTCTTCAGTTGACTGGCACCCCCCTACTCTCACAGAACCTCCTGCTGAGCTCACAAGAGAAAATATTAGGAAATGGTGCTGAGGTAGAGTTTCCTGCTCAGTTTTGTGGTATTTCCTATATTTAGGATTTTCAGTGTATTGTTCTGGTTTGTTGGTTAAGTATGGCCTGTTTTCCCAGCTGAGGGGTGGGGGTAGAAAACGGGAGCCAGCAGTTCTGTTCTGCAAAAGTCTACTAAAACTTCCATGTAGCCAACCACAGAACTTCTTTAAACTATTTTCTGAAACATTTTGTTTAGTTACCTCAGGCTATCAAGGACAGACCTGAAAAGAGACGAGGAACAGAACTGGGTTTACCTTGCAGGCATCATCAAGGTGCCTTGTGTCTCCTGCACACAACATGTTGTCAGTAACTGTCCGGTTGTCCAGATGTTGTGTTGTGCACCTGCTGGCTGGGAACAGTCTGACATGGCCTTCCTTCAGGTGCTCTGAGTAGAATGGAGAAACTGGAAGAAAAATATCAATATAAAGACATATATATGGCTGTGTTTATATTTAAAAAACAATAAATTGCAGGTTGGTGTCTGTAGTTTAGGGGAAAGTAAACAGAAGTAGGTGGGAGTAGGGGTGTGGTGTGGCTCAACTATTATTTCCTTGCCAAAGGGTCTTTTTCAGTTCCTGGGGGTTCTGCTTTGCTAATGAGAACATCTTAAATATAGTTGAGAGATAATATTGCTGCTTTAGTGAGGTTAAATACTAGAGAGGTTTTTGTAGGCTCCAAGCTAAAGACTGCTGGGTTTCTTGGGTGGATAAGTCATCTTTGCACAGTTACATCAATCAAAATGAAGTCACAGGAAGTGACTATGAAAATCACTAACTGTATGAAACAAGGTCCTGACTTTTTAGTATTAGATTTACACTAACAAAAATCAGATGCCTTGCCATACACAATACTGAGTAACTGGATAGGAATGTAAACTTGTGCTACGTTGGAATGGAAGGGATTTTTTTTGTTTTGGTTTGGGTGTTGGGTTTATACTCCTGCATAGCTGCAATTGCCCAAAGCTGAAAGTTGGCAGGACTGTTGTTTTTCAGTTAGTTTTGAATTACAGTTGCAGCATCCTTTCCCTCTCAAAGCGTTTATCCTGTACTCCCTGTAAGCATTGCTGAGGACTAGCCTTGAAAATACTTTAAGAACACTTTATGCCACATTTATATGTTAAATTGCAAGTCTGTTCCAAAAATCCTATGGGTTCAAATCATGATTAGGTCTTGTTATGATGGATTGCTTCACAGTCTCTGTCCCAGAGTTTACAAGTCAGAGAATAAAAAGAAATTAGTAGATAATGCTAGTAAACAAGAGCTGATTTTTTTGTTTGTTTCTTTGTTTTAAATATAGGTCAGCATGTGTATACTTTCAGACAGATTTTATTTCTGTTTGTTGAAGGTCATTTAAACCCTTTAGACAGCCTTTTAAAATGTATATATATGGGATTGATATTTCTTTAGCTGGTTTTTGGGTTTGGTTTTTTTTTTGCTTATCACTGCACAGCCTATGTATCTTTTAGAATAATGCAACTACCTGTAGCTGTATAGTATATTAAATCTTGACAGAAATGGTTTTATGTCAGAATCACGATATCTAAAGGTACTCAGTAGAGCAGAAATGGGGCAGCTCTGATTGCAAATTTTCTGGCTTTCCTACCTTTATTCATAGTGCCATTTTTTGTGTTTCTACTGCTGGAGAGTATCAAGGAAGACACTGCTAGCCCATGCAGCTCACAGAACTCAGATGAATGAAATAACTTACAGCAAAATTTGGTTTTGTGTATCTCCCACTTACACATATGTTTTGTAGTGCTTACATAAGCCCATATAATAATTCAGGGGGTCACACATAAAGCGATGCTAAAGGTCTGAATTCTTTGAGGGCAGGGGACCCAAACTTTGGACACAGTGTCCTCTACTTACACTTAGAAGTGTATCTTCTACTTACATTCTTCATTTCTGCCATAACCAGAGACCTCGCACTCAGTCCAGTCAGGCAGCTGCAGTCCTGGTGTGGGGAGACAGGCAGTGCGGACAGCGTCTGTCTCAACAGCACAGTCTTCTGCATCTGAGCTCAACTGCAACAGAGCTGAAGGGGGAAAAAAATCCCCACTTCATTAACCACAAACTTGAGCCAACTGTGACCTTTCCAGTCACGAGGTCCGAAAAGTTCTTACCAATGTCATTGTTGAAGTTTTCTGAGTCAAATCTCTCGTGTACAATGTAGCTCTTCACTTGAAAGCTTTGTTCATTTTCCTCAGGAGTTGCTCTGGAAGTCCTACCCAGCACAATCTTCAGCTGATTTGTACTAAAGCTGAAGAACAACACTGTGTTACTTTCTTCCTGTGTCAATTGGAGTGGACTCTTCCCTTGAAGATGTGCTGCTGGAACTTCTACTTTTCTAATTTTAGCACTCTTACTACATTCCCTGGGCAGTTTCACCTCAAGTGTCCTATTTCCCTTTGGTTTTGCGCTAATTGCTTACAGCCATCATGGCAAAGCTCCTCTGCCAGCCCCTTGCTGTTCTCAAGTTTCTGATGGCTCTGCATCTCTACCAACAACTTTGTTCTTCAGCTATTTGATATTCTGCTGTGGTACCTTAATGCCGTGCTTCTAGTGTGCCTGTCTGTAATGCTCAGCACAATTAACTCTATAATTTTTAATGTAGAGGATAGAGCTTTTTCACGTCATTTACCCTTCAAGTAAGGCTATACCAGATGCTTCCATTTTCCAGGGGTTTTTCTCCCATATGGCACTGAGTCCTCAACTTACCCTTCCTCAAAACAGTGAGCAGCTGACAGAACCCAGCAGGAGCTGATGAGAACTCCTCCGCAGAGGAAGTGCTCTCCCGGAGCTCGGCGATACTTAACAAAGATGGCAGCCTGCCATGGGTGAGCCGTGATGTCTGCGTAGGAGCCGCCTCTGATCCTGTACTGCTGCGCTCTGCGCTGCCGCAGCCCACAGGTGGCTGTGGATGAAAACACACAGGCTTTTTGTCCAGGCACTTTTCCTTTGAGTTTGGGTTAAGGGCCTGTTAGTTGTCAATGCATGTTGAGGCATCCTGGCACGAACTGTTTACTATCTGACTCATTCCCGTTTCCTAGGAAACTTATTCTGATTTGAAAAATACAGTAAGGAAACCCTGCCTTTTTTATCCTCTGTTTCTGCAATCTTCCCTTTTGGCAGAGGAAAAGGCACTTCTGTGAGAGTAGAGCCACAGAATCTCTTTTTACTCCAAAAAGCTGCTGCTTTTTTTTTTTTCTCCTCTTTTTTTCCCCCAGCTCTTATTCACTGTAGGAGGCTTGAGTTTAATACAAATGACATCCAGAATAGTAACGCCCCAAAGAAAGAGAAGAATCAGGAGTGCTGGGATCCTTACAGCAAGTAGGCACATTGCAGTACTCCCACGTGAGCCGATTTCCTTTCAATACATGGCACCAGGGCTTACTGTCATTGTCAGGATTCCTGCAGCACAGGAAAGAGAAGAGCTATTTGTTTTATCAGATGTGCAGGGAGTTCAGGGAGTCCTAAAGGTGGGAGACTGCATTCTTTTTGATTTTTCTAGAGATGCAGAGGACCCTAGGGGCACATGAAATTTGCGTTTACAGAGTCGATGTTAGGGAAGCATAGGTCATGTGGAATAGATTTATTGTTGTCAGTGACCTTCACTACCAGCAGTAATGTATTTCTTGTGCTTTAATAACCCACATAAAAGACTAGAGCTCTGCTTCAAGAGTACCACAAGGAAGTTTGGTGGGATTTTTTTTGATTCTATAACTGACTACATACCGGCAGAAATTGTGACTTCCAAGGCCCAGCTGGTAAGCATCTCTTCTCCAAGCAGTATATAAGTTGTTGATAAGGATTCGAGAATTCCACCTCAAACAGGCAGCTCCAGAACTGGTAACGCTGTGGCTGCCTCGGTAGTCTGTGCCTCTTCCAGTTTTGCAGTTGATGTTCCCAACTTCAATAAGAAAGCTGCATGTTAACTGATGAATGTGAATCTGGCAGCTGTTCCTAACTGTGATTTCTTTCAAGGCATCTATGTATTAGCTATAGTCTGTATCATAAATATTAAAATCTTAAACATGATTTAATGGGAGAGTCTCAACTTTTCAGGCTACAGAAATAGCACAACTCCAGAGAGAATCCTTATATATGCAGTGAATCGTGGAAGCTCTAAAGTCCATTCCCTGTTCCCCTGCATGTACCTTTTGAACAGGAGGGCACACTGCAGTGTTCCCAGATGTACTTTCCCCCTTTATAGATATAGCACCAAGGTCTGGAATCCTCATCTGGGTTTCTGAAAGAGTTATGATATTATGCATCATTATAAAGCTACTGTTACTAGCTCCATGTCTGCCATCTAGTTCGGTAACTTAATCCTGCTCCACAGTGAAGACATGGACTGAAGCATCAGAAGTCGTTTGGATTCCTATTTTAATTATAAAATTGTGGAGTACACAGGTAAGGATGAGACAGCCAACAGCTAGCAGGAGTGGGCAGCTTGTTTGTGCAGTTTAGTTTATGTGCCAGAAGCACTATATTTTTAGAGTTTTGAGCAGGATCTGGAGCTGCAGGGAACTAGTTTACAAAGGGTGTTTTAGGCACTGAGAAGGGACAAGGGATACTATGGGTTGAGAGATGTATACATTTTGTAGTCTGTCATAAGCATCCAGTCTAGATAGAGCTGAAGCTCATACGTGTCTACAGAACTTGCAATTACTGCTCAAGGGCTGTGTGTATTTGCACCTGTGCAGAGTGTTCTCTGCTTGGTATAAGATGCTTCAAAGAGCTGTCCCTTTGCTCCAGGCTCTTAGAATGCACTGATTCCTGTGGCTCTGACTGGTGCTAGGAGCCCCTCACCTGCAATAGTTGTGATTGCCCAGTCCCAGCTCAGTAGCATCCTCTCTTTGGCCACTGTACATCCGGTCCATCAAGCCGTTGCTATTCCAATTTAAACATTCAGTTCCACTCTCTGTCATGCTCCATGTACCCCTGTATGATACTCCAGCATCTTTGTAGCACTTAACTTCAGTATCTGAGCAAAAGTGAAGAAAATATTACTATAACAACAGCATCCGAAATTCCGGTTCCCTGGTCTCTGTTCTGTTTAAACTTGGCTTCCAGATGTCTTGTCTACTAAGTTGGTGAAAATGCCTTGCCAGGCAGACTGTAAGTATCCACGAAGGTCTTCAGCTCCAAAATTCAGAGTTTTATCAAGAGACGCTGAGAACAGCCCAGGTGTCCTTAAAAGTTCTTTGTAGTATTAGCTTTAGAATAAAAAGAGGCAACTGAACAGAGAGCCTAGTATACAGCAGCAGCTTCTGGGTACTCATCTTTCTGCACTGCGTAGCTAAAACCAGTAGCATTGTTCACAGTAATGGACATGGTTTACTCACCTATTTCACACTGCTTCCCAGAGAAACCTTGGTGGCACTGGCAGATGAAGAGCTGTGGGGAGTAATATGCCTGTGAACACTGGCCCCCATTGTAGCATTTATTTCTAGTGCAGGCTATGGAATAAGCAAAAGCCAGGAAATGGTGTTAGATTTCACAGAAGTTAGAAGCTGGCAGTGTATACCCATCTTTCTTCTCCTGTCAGTCTCCTTTAGCCTGTTATGATTTTCCGTGCCTACCTGTTATTGTCATGTGCTTACAGATGTTTTGTGTAGTGCTTACATTCCTCCTCTGCTCCGTTCTCTCCACATACACTGTTAGGAGCCTTCACCAGCCCCTTGCCCGCTCCCACTTAATCCAGCCTGAGTCGGTATTTTCTTTTCTATCCTATTCTATTTCAAGCCAAATTTTCTGGGTGGTAATGCCTTCCCTGATAGTGAGCTCTTATTTAGGATGATTAGATGGACAATCTCTCACCGCCCATCATCTCTTTTCTCTTTTTTTCTTCTTCATACTCACCTCTGATAGGCACAGTGTGGCAGCGATTCCGACCACTGTCGCACCTACAGTATTCTATTCTGCTCCCTGAGAGCCTCAGCCAGGTATCCCTGTGCTGGTAAATTTCTCCAGATGAATTGTCTGCGCAAATGGCTGTAATTGGAGAAAGGAAATTTTCTTTTAGAGATTCAGGGAAAAGACCTGGCTGAGTAAAAGAACTCCCTTCTCTTTCTGGGAGAAAAGTATCTGTGATGGAAGCATTGGTCTAATGAGCTGCCCTTTTTCCTTCTCAGACCACAATTGTCCCATCTGTTTTCCTGCTGTGTTGTACTTTTCCGCTACTGACTGGCCTCTTTTTCTTTGAAGAAGAGCAGAGGGAGGGGAAAACTTTGTTCTTGGAGTTGTGGATGGTACTAATGGTCTGGTATTTTTGCCTTTGGAATCTCTCATCCAAATAACCATGACAAACAGTTTCCAGGTTCCGTTCCCTCAGCATCATCTGTTTTCCCCTCCTATGTTCATAAAGCCACAGGTAACATGGTTGTAGTTTGCCTGACTTACCTCTAGACCTGGCTCCCCGTTTGAAACGCGTGCGTAAGCCCTGCAAGCAAAGAAGGTTAATTCTGTGAGTAACTGTTCTCTTGAGAAAACTGGAAGAACAAGTGTCTCCGAAGAGCCAGTCCTTTTCTTGAGGTCTTGTAAATCAGGGGAGCTCTGTCTGCTCTCCTCATCAGACAGTGAAATGTGCCTTTAGTATCTCAGCCTAGGAACCAAGAATTTTAATAATCGAGTTGCCACAGGGTACCAGGTGGTTGCTTGTCATCCATTTGACGTGAATTTGGGATGTGCTGTGCTCACGTATTGCGTGAAGTGATTATGGGCTCTTGGAGCATTGCAAGTGCTAACTAAAGCTTGTCAGCTTTCTGCTATTTGAAGGAGGGTCAAGCAAATAATTTTCAAAGAATTAAATGTGAACAAGCAGTTATTTTTGCTCATTGAGATGCAGTTTCCCCATAAGCCTCTGTAGCTTGATTACCTTTGAGAGATATGTCTCCTGCAGCCAGTCAAATAAAATATTTTGGATAAAGTTTTAAGGAAGAAACTAATTTAGAAAGCTGCTCTAATCAGGCAGCCACAAGAGAAATAACATAAAAAGAAAGAGTAAGGCCGGGATAGCACTTTTTTGAGAAATAGACTAAACATTTTAGAACTGTCTAGGGTTTACTTAAGCTGTGCAATGTGTGGCTTAAAGTAAGGGGACATAGCAACCATCAATGGCCAGTTGTAAGTAAGAGTAACGATGAAAGTGATGCCAACAAAAAGAAAATTAAAAGGTGATCACAATGGAACTCTTACTAACAGTGAAATGTGACAGTGAACGGATACACCAAGAAGATTTGGAGATTTGCTTAGTGAAATGAATACCAGCCAGGATAACACACTACTGGAAATCCCACTTTAGAGGTATACACTACTTCGCAAGATTTTCCTTTCTCTGATTTCTAGTGATATAACCAGATTCTGCTTCTGTCTGATGCAGACAGCTGGAGTCAGTGGTAAGGCTGAACACGCAAAAGGATTGCAAGAGCATTATTTGATACGTTTAACTTACCTGGCATTGAACAGTTGTGATTGCTACCACCAGCAAGAGGAGACATGGGAGTCTGCCTGCCATTCTGAGTGTTTTCCACATCACCTCCAAATCTCAAGATATTTATAGAGACAAAAGAAAAAATAAGATGTTGAACAAAGGCGGTTTTGCAGCGTGAAATGGAGTTCAAGGTCATAAGTTTAAATACAGGTTTTAAATTATGAAAATTCTTTTTAAATTAAAACACGCTTTGTACTCTGCATTTCTGCAGTGTGCCCAGGTGGCCAAGAAAGCCAATGGCATTCTGGCTTGTATTAGAAATGCCGTGACCAACAGAAGTAGGAAGGTGATTATGCCCCTGTACTCGGCACTGGTGAGGCCACACCTGGAGTGTTGTGTCCAGTTCTGGGCACCTCAATACAAGAGAGATCTCGAGGTGCTGGAGCGAATGCAGAGGAGGGCAACGAAACTAGTGAAGGGCCTGGAAGACAAATCATATGAGGAATGGCTGAGGGAGCTGGGACTGTTTAGTATGAGGAAGAGGAGGCTGAGGGGAGACCTCATCACTCTCTACAACTACTTGAAAGGACACTGTAGAGAGGTTGGTGCTGGTCTCTTCTCACAGGTAATTAACGACAGAACAAGAGGGAATGGCTTCAAGCTCCAACTGGGTAGGTTTAGACTAAACATTAGGAAGGAATTTTTCACAGAAAGAGTAGTCGGGCATTGGAATAGGCTGCCCAGGGAGGTGGTTGAGTCCCCATCCCTGGCTGTGTTTAAGGGATGTTTAGATGCGGTACTGAGGGATATGGTGTAGGGGAGGACTATGTAGAGTAGGGTAGATGGTTGGATTCGATGACCCCAAGGGTCTTTTCCAACCTGAACGATTCTATGATCCTATGATTCTCAGCCACCTGGTCTCACTGTCCTGGTGTCACTGGACAGAAACCTGACAAGCTAAAGCACACCCTTTTACGTCTGGAGGAAACTCAGAGAGCCTTTCCTGGGAAGTAACACTGGTAGAAGTAAATTCCAAGTCCTTTTTCCCAAGGTTGCTGGAAGCCAACAGTATCGTGTGCTTTATTAGAGACATGGACTTGTCAAACGAAGGAGTGTAATACTGATTGGAAAGTGTTAATTGAGATTGAGGCCTACCTAAGAGATCTCTTGCAGAGGCAGAAAAATATGCTGAAGGGTCAATCTGTGTTTTAAGAAGGTTTGCATTTTCTGCACAGACTGCTGCTTTGGCTGGGAGTGAGGGCTTCTCTCTTGTGTCAGCAAGGAGACTTTGGTTGACAATAAGTGGGGGCCCTGCTGCTATGTCTTTGATTTTCAGTATTTCTACAGTTTCTCCCCAGCTGACCTCTTAGTTTCTACTGTTGTCCTATGCTTTTACTAAAAAGTGTGAGTAAGGCAATTGGCTGGCAGGGTAGCTTTTGGTCTGTTGTTCTCATTTATTCCTTGCAGCGTTTCTTTCCATGTGTCACTTCTGTGCAGTCACAACTGTGCCTTATTCTCTCTAATCCCTTCAGCGGCTTTACACTTCAGACAAAGCCCTCTTCCATACCGCATAAAGAGTTTCGGCTTCTTCCAGACTGATTTACACAGTCTGTTTCCTAAGGCAGGAGTCTTGGGAGAGAACCTCCAATGGTCTCTTGTGGGAGATGGCCGGCTGGTATGGTGTGGCTGGAATTAAGGATGAGTCTGAATTTCTGCCTCCATTCATCTCATTTGCTTTGAAAATCTACTTCTCTCTTCAGTCATCAGAGGTTAATTTCCTAGCTGGTGGAATTGCTGCTCTGACCTGGCCACGAACAGCTACAGGAAGGACATTTGGGCTCTGTGATCCATCTGTTTTCCTTCCTACTGTAGCAAAACATTTCTGTCTGGCCTCGAGCAGGCAAGTTTCTTGGCAGAAGCATGAATTTAGATTTCTCTAGTCACTGACTGCAGTGAGATGTGCTACCATCTTGTGCCCTGGTTTCCTCTCCTCCAGTTTTTTTTCCTGACAAAGGAGGAAAAATGATTTCTTTCACCAAAGCCAAGCTCCTTCTGTAAGCGCTGCCTGGTTTAGGGCAGCTGCTGGGAGGAGAGTAGAGGAGAGCACACTCATAGCACAGCATAGTCTCGAGCGTGTAGAAAATTTTAGCACTGAAATTAAGCAACACAAGGTTTTTTTCCCTTGCTGTACTAAATGCCATTTCTAATCTCATCCTCATAGCAGAAAAATACACTGGATGTGACATACAAAGGCAGTGAAGGGCTTCCTGAGATTGCCTTCATACCGGCAAACAATGTGCTGTACTGTGGGCTTCTGGCTCCTCTGTTAATTCGTGTAGGAAAAATCCCCAAGGAGATGTATTTTGCTCATTCTTTTATCTTGGTGACCTTGTAGTAACAGGAAAAGATCAGGCAAATGTATGTATGTCCAAGAACTCCATTGAAGCCTGACCTTAGCAGCATGAGTCTGGTAACTAGCAAAGATCTATTTTATATTTAGAAACGCTGCTGAACTTGAGGACTTTAAATGAGGATTTATTGGTATAACAGGACTTTATGATGGAGGCGGGGGAGGCCGTTGTTCATGGCAAAACTTAAGTTAGTACGGTGGATACAAATGATTACACAGTGTCAGAAGCTTAGAAACTGAACACCTATGGGACTCGAAATACGGCATTACGTGGCAAGGTCCAATGCATCTATTACAAACTGGGAAGTATTGATTTTCACAGTGAGTAATAGATTTTAAGGACTGGAGTTGTCATTATTATGAAATCTGATCTCTCACAATAAGACAAATAACTTTATCACAGGTTTCCTGACTTAAACCTATAATTTTCTTCCTAAAAGTAATAGTTACTACTACTTCCAGAAATTAGAAGCTCAGACTCTGTTTATATAAAACCAGAGAAGGCAGCTGGATAATAGCTGGTGAAATTGGAGTATGACAGATGAATGAATCATAAATTGGGATTCAAGGCTAAAAAAGGGAGAGAGTTTGGGTTTGTTTTTTTTTTTTTTAAAGATTGGGTCAAATCAAAAGCAAGAGGCATAAATACTCATCTCTGAAGCAGAAATGGAGTACAACAGGATAGTTTAGGCTATGGTTTCTCATCATTAAACTGCACAAAGAAGAGACTTAAGTTGCAAGTCAGACTGAGAAGATTCATAGGAACAGCTTCCACAAACCTTAGTTACTCCAAATCTTGTCTTTAGGTCACATCTTGATGATGAGATCCTCGTAATACAGAGAATTTTTCAGCGATTTGTATTAGTATGCAGATTTTGCAGTATACTTTATATATAATTTCAAGCCCTTTCTCACATCCTAGGAAGCATTTTGCATTGTATAGCAGGCCTTTTTAAAAGCTGAAAGAGCAATTTCCAAATAGGCATCGACTTCAATTACATCTGAACTAAATCAGCAGCGTTCCCAAAGCTGAAATGGAAGATCTGAACTGGTGCCCAGAGCCGTTCAGTTGCTGCTAGCCCTGTGTTAGATGCTGCACAACATGTAGAGTTACATTTCTCCCTCTCCTGTCCATCCACTGGTGGCTGCTGTCCAAATGCATGGAAAACTGGTAACAGATGTTACCAGATGTTTATTTTCTGTTTCGGGAAAGGTACAACTTAGGCCAGTACATTGGAACATTCCAAATGATAAGCTCTATCAAACTGAAAGCATATGGCTGTTTGAAACATACCATGTTTACAAGACTCCAAGCAGAATCCAGCAAGCAATGTGCTTTCTGGTAGGGCTCTGCTGAACAGTTTGTGCCTTTTGCTCTCACCCTTTGCTTCCTCTCTCATCAAAAATACTCTTAGCAATAAGCCAGAGGCCTCAATGTGGTGTGCTGATATTTTGAGTCTACGCTTTCAGGTACATTAAGGCATAAAGATATGCAATACCCTAAATTTATCTCTTTTTGCTGAATCATCACCAGCAGGAATACTTTAAATCCCACATATTAATTTATTATTATTAACAGTCCTTCTAAGCGGTAAGAGTGTGAGTATTATCAATGTGGAATAAGAGCTAAAAAAGGGATGTATCTTACCAAGGTAGAACAAAAATCCGTTAACAGAAATTAAAAGTAGCTCCTCCCACCCCCATGCCTCCCAATAACCTAGAATGTCCATTCCAGAATACTTTGATTCTGAATCTATAGTACTAATAGCTTTCTTGCTGATGAACAGCTATCTTGATCAAATTCAAGCAAAAGACTGCAGATCTTCACTGCCTTTTCCTGCCTTCTGGAGAAAGTGCTTCTGTATGCCTTTTCTAAACTGAGCAGATGAATATTAGACTTGTACCATTTCTCTTTAAAATAGAACAGGGGTCAGACCTCTGCTTTTTGGGAAAAGAAATAAAAAAAACTAAACCCAAACAACCAAAACAAAAAAGTAAGATTCTATAGTCTTTGAAGGCATTGCAGGAAATTGGTATTTTGGACTCTGGCTTCGTTTTGGGAATCATTTTCAATATTTCCTGTGGTTTTGGCAGCGTTTGAAAAGAAGCATGTTTAGGGAGAACTGCAGATGACACACCCTCCTCCTCTTTGTCACTCCATTACCCCGGTTGGGAGCCTGGGGTGAAAGGCACGGTCTGACTACAAGGAAGACGATAAATTATCCTTTCACAGCTAGCTCTCCGGGTCTCTCCTTGCCATGAAGATATTTGTCTGTAACTCTTCCTTTGTTTTAAGTTCTTTTGCTAATGTTCTTTAGCAGCAGACTCCTCCCTGCTAACTGGTCAGCGCCTGGGGCTATCAGCCCTTTCCCTGGAATAGCTAAAGCTTTCTTGAAACAACTGAAAGCTGGCAGCTTTTCCCGGCACCATGAATCGCTCCAGAAGCTGAAAGGCAATAGCTCGGTTAGTTAACGACCGTGGTGCTTCAGTGAGATTCATTAAATAATAATATTTAATAGTATTTAATGACAATGCCATTGATGTTGAAAACGGGAGACGCACTTTTTGAAACTGGTGCAGAGTAGTACCTACCTTTTTGCTTTTTCTCGTCTGTTTTCTGCTGCTGATTTCTTTTCCTCACCAGCCTGGCTTTGTGCTTTCTCCGTCTCTGCTCTCTCTGAACAGCTCCTGGCCTTAAAACCCGGCTGGAGGGGGAGGAGACTGCGGCGGTGGCGGGCGGGCTCCCCGCGGGCCGGGTTGCGGGAGGAGCGGGTTCGGGAGAGGGGACCCCGCCGATGGAGCTGCGGGGAGGGCTGGGGTTACAGACGGTTTGGTTTGTTCTTTCTCTCATCCAGTCACAGAGCAGATTCAGTCTTCTAAACAATGTTCCCCTCTTGACTGCCGTAAGCTTCAGTGACAATAGTACGTATCCCTTTACGACAAAGTGTCCCATTGTGCTTCCAGGAATTGGGGGGCCCCTGCCCAGGCAATACCCCGGTGAATGCACAGGTCTGTTCTTTCTAACATGACCCAAGGTCTGCAATCTGTAGACTTAGTCCTTAGAAACTCCTGTTTGAAGGAAGAGCATGGTGTGCCCCACTCTGAATGGCATCCATTGAGAATCTTTGGCAGAGAGACCCAGACCCATGTGTGGAGCAAAGCATGGGAGGAGCAGTGCCACTGGGAGAAGAGTGGTTAGAGGAGCTCTCCAGTTAAGCAGGGACAATGAACCAAACTTCTGAGCATCCTTAGATAGAAAAAATGAATAGTATGTTTAGGACGGAAGAGTTAAATGCTTGTTGATACTGTCCATTCTAGAAAACAAACCCGACTCACCAGGGTGCGGTCACGAGGTACTAAGTTATCAAAGTGTGGCAGACAAATCTGAATGATTGGTTTTAAAACTTAGGGCTGCATTATGAAAACTGTCAGTGATGCAATTGTTACAGTAATGGATGTGTCCTAGTGGATGTGATTCACTAGAAATGAGGTTTCCTGATACAATTTAGCGTAAGGACAGACATAAGAAATGGTGTGTGAGGGATCTCCATCTTCAGGAAGCAGCTCCATAGAGTCCTCAGTTGGGAAGCATGGCAACAGTTGTTTTGCATATTGGCAAAGATGAAACACTGGTTACTCTGAATGTTTAGCTGTTCTCTGTATGGAACTCTATGTGAAGATTATGACATGCATTTCTTGGAGAATCATGGTGCTAGTGGTAACATTACTGCCACAAATCTGGTTTAAGGGCAGCTGGGTTTGTTTCCAGAAGGGACTCACAGTTGTTGGGAATAAGATTGGACGCTGATGAGTGAGCAGGGGTGAATTTATATTATTTTTGAATGATAACAGCTATTTGCTTCTAGACTAAAGATGCTCGCAAAGTAATGGCTCCCACAAAGTGAGGGAAGATTTCAGAAGTTATAGCCCCTTCCAGTCCCTAAAGGGGCTCCAGGAAAGCTGAGGAGGGATTCTTGGTCAAGGAGTGGAGCCATAGGATGGGGGAGAATGGTTTTAAACTGAGAGAGGGGAGATTTACATTAGATATAAGGAAGAAATTCTTTGCTGTGAGGGTGGTGAGAGCCTGGCCCAGGTTGTCTGGAGAAGCTGTGGCTGCCCCATCCCTGGAGGGGTTCAAGGCCAGGTTGGAGGGGGCTTGGAGCAAACTGGTGGGTCTGGTGGGAGGTGTCCCTGCCCAGGGCAGGGGGTGGCACTGGGAGGGCTTTAGGATCCCTTCCAACCCAAACCACTCCATGATTCTATGAAGTGTGTCATAACGAAACCCTGCAGCAGGGACACCTCTGTGCCTGGCCCAGCACACGCCACTGGCCCTGCTGCTGCCGGGCTGTGCGCCTCCCCACCCCGGCAGCGCGGTGCTTCACCTCCCGGGTATGAGAACGCAGTATCTCAACCCGACATGACGCACGGAACGGTGTTTTGGCGTTGGATGCTGAGGGGGAAGCTGAGAGAAACAGTGCATTTCGGTACGTTTAGCAGATTTTAAAGAAGCCGTGGGGAGGCTTCCTAAAAGGAAGGAGAGGCAGCTCTTCCGTTTCACTTCAACAGCCCACGAGCTCTCCTCCATCCGCCAGCGCCTGACACCAGGGAGGACGGCGGCACCGACAATGTTGCCCCCGCCCCGCGCGGCTCCTTTAAGAGCGGGCGGGCGGGCGCCGCCGGCGCCGGAGCCGGAAGCGTCAGCGGAGGCGGCCGGGGCCCTGTGTAGCCGGAGCGCGGCGGCCCCGCCATGAGCCGGCCGCCGGCCCTGCAGGCGCAGACCTGCGGCCCCTGGGAGATGAAGGAGCGCCTCGGCACGGGCGGCTTCGGCAACGTCATTCGCTGGCACAACAAGGTAGGAGGCGGCCGCCCCCCCCTCCCCGGCGCGGCCCGGCGGGCCCCGCGCTCAGCCCGGCCCGTGCTGTGTCCGCAGGAGACCGGCGAGCAGGTGGCCATCAAGCAGTGCCGACAGGAGCTGAGCCCGCGCAACCGCGACCGTTGGGCGCTGGAGATCCAGATCATGAAGCGGTAAGGGGGGCGGCGGCCGGGCTCCGGCGTTGCCGGTCGGGCCGCGAGTGGCCGGTGCCGCCGGGGCGGGGCGGGCGCCGGGCGGGGTCGCGTCAGCGGGGGTGGCATCGAGCGCGGGTCTAACGGCTGCGCTGAGGGAAATGGCGGGAGAGGCTGCGGGGTCAGCTGCGTGGAAGCACACGCTGAGGGGAACCTGGTGTCGCGTTTCGTCAGTCTCGGGTTTCAGACCTCCGGCCCGTCGGAACGGTGCTGCGGGGGAGCTGTCCCTCTGCCCAGCCTAACGTCTGTGCTGGGCTGTCTTCCGGGGCGCTGGGTTGGCTTTGTAGGATGCCACGGTCCGACCGCAGTTTGCGTCTTTTCTGGAGGGTGGCAGAAGACTTGGTCATACCTCGGCAAGGCCTGGTCTGGTAGCGCCTGGAAAGGTCTTGTCCCTGTGGGCTGAGGGAATGCAACCTGGTCTGGTGGGAGGCGTCCCTGCCCAGGGCAGGGGATTGGAACTGGGTGATCTTTAAAGTCCCTTCCAACCCAAACTGTTCGATGTTTCTTGTGATTCTGTGAATGCACTAACTGTAAATGAAATGCAAAAAGTCGGGTTGAGATAAGGTCTGTGAAGGATGGATGAATTGCAGACCTTTAGAGTTTCTAAAAGGATTGATGTCTGTGTTAGACTTTACGTGATGACAAGCGCTTGAAACTGCATAGCTGTTGCAGAACAGTTGTCTTTCAGGTGTCACCCTGGTTCCACACATAGAATTATATGGGGTTGGAAGGGACCTCTGGAGATCATCTAGTTCAACCCCCCCGCCAGAGCGGGTCTACCCAGAGCAGGTTGCACAGGAACTTGTCCAGGCGGGTTTTGAATGTTTCCAAAGAAGGAGGCTCCACCACTTCTCTGGGCAGCTTGTTCCAGTGCTCTACCACTCTCACAGTAAAGAAGTTCCTCCTCACGTTTAGGTGGAACTTCTTATACTCAAGTTTGTGCCCATTTTCTCTTGTCCTGTCACTGGGCACCACTGAAAAAAGACCAACCCCATCCTGCTGGGATCCTCCCTTTAAGTATTTGTAAGCATTGATTAGATCCTCCCCTAAGTCTTCTCAAGACTAAAAAGACCCAAGTCCCTCAGCCTCTCCTCGTAAGAGAGATGCACCACGTCCTTAATCATCTTTGTGGCCCTTTTCTGTACCCTCTCCAGCAGTTCCCTGTACTTCTTGAACTGGGGAGCCCAGAACTGGGCACAGTATTCCAGATGGGTTCTCACCAGGGCAGAGTAGAGGGGCAGGATGACCTCCCTCCACCTGCTGGCCACGCTATTCTTGATGCACCCCAGGATGCCATTGGCCTTCTTGGCCACAAGGGCACATGCTGGCTCATGGTCATCCTGTTGTCCACCAGGACTCCCAGGTCTTTCTCCTCAGAGCTGCTCTCCAGTAGGTCAGCCCGCAACTTCTGGTGCTTGAGGTCATTTCTCCCCAGGTGCAGCACCCTACACCTGCCCTTGTTAAATTTCATTAGGTTTCTCTCTGTCCAACTCTCCAGCCTGTCCAGGTCTTGCTGGATGGTGGCACAGCCTTCTGGGGTGTCAGCCACCCCTCCTAGTTTTGTGTCATCAGCAAACTTGCTGAGGGTACATTCCATCCCTTCGTCCAGGTCATTGATGAATATATTGAAAAGGACTGGACCCAGTACTGACCCCTGGGGAACACCACTTGTTACAGACTTCCAGCTGGATTCTGTGCCCCTAATCACAACCCTCTGAGCTCTGTCTTTTAGCCAGTTTTCAATCCACTTAACTGTCCGTTGATATAACCCACACTTCCTAAGCTTAGCTATGAGGATGCTCTGGGAGACAGTGTCGAAAGCCTTGCTGAAGTCAAGGTAGACAACATCCACCGCCCTCTTGTCATCTATCCAACCAGTCATGCCATCATAGAAACACACTCATCATGTGTACTTGCCTCATTTCCATTCCTTAGGCTGAACCATCCCAATGTGGTGGCTGCCCGTGATGTCCCCGAAGGAATGCAGAAACTTGCACCAAATGATTTGCCATTGCTGGCCATGGAGTACTGCCAAGGTGGAGACCTCCGCAAGGTGAGGTCCCTGGGGTGGTGACCAAGGGCTGGATCAGCTTCTCAGCTGATCCTAGGGTTTCTATTGAAGTTGCCGTGTAAAACCTGTGTTTTCATATCCTGATGCTTCCTAATTCTTGTCATGGCACCAACAGGTTTTGGCGGGTTGGTTCAGCTTTTGAAGACTTAAGTACTTTCTGAAATGCTTGATGTTTGGCTGCAAGTGACACTGTAAGGAGTTTGCATGTAGAGGGTGAGGGCATATGTGAGGGATGTGCACCAGGATGTGAGCATGGCTAAGACCATCATAGGGCAGTGTACATCTGTAGGCTGTACCCTTCCTGAAAGTGATTAATTTGCCACCGGAAAAAAATACCACGTTAATTCTGATCTTACTGTTTTTCTAACCTTTGCTGTAATCTGCCCTTGCATAAAACCTAGAGCTTAGAGTTGAGATTTGAGCTGATGTGGCCAGGCACGGGGGAAATGGCTATGAAGGGTGGAGCAAGTAGAAGGAAGAGAATGGGGGTGACACTGACTTCTTTCACCCATTCTTTTCTCCTCCTGTGCAGTTAGACCAAGGCCCAAAGCTGTAATTGCTCCTACCAGAGGTCACA